CCTCCCTCCCTCCCTCCCTCCCTCGATCCATCTCGTTGTTCCTCCAATTCCCTCTTCTGACGTCTTGGCAGTCTACGATGCTCCTCCCGCCGCGTTCAGGCAGGTCAGCGAGGAGGCCGGAGGCTGCAGTAGACGATTTCTCTCACAGGCCGTGCAGGACGACCTGTCAAACCTTGTCAGCTTCACTCCCAACATGCACCATGAGCACAACATGAGGTAGAGGAGAGAGGAGAGGAGGAGGAGGGAGAAGAGGGGGAACAAGAGTGGGAGGACAGGAGGAGGGTGGGGGCGAGGATAGGGAGGAGGAGGGAGAAGAGGAGGAGGGAGACGAGGAGGAGGGCAAGGGAGGGGGAGGGGGAGGAAGGGGAGGGAGAGGGAGAGGAAGCAGCGACTGATCCATGCACGCCAGCAGGAGCGAGGTGAAGGTTGATGGGTTTGACGTCGGCAATGCAAGCAACGTGAGAGTTTGTGCTGGGGTGTGAAGGAGGAGGGAGGTGAAGCTGATGGGGAGGAAATGCTAGGAGGAGGAAGCGGAACTAAGCTGAACAGGAGGGAGGGGAGGATAGAAGGTCAATAGGAGGAGAGCAGGAGAATAGAATGCCAAGGAGATGATGGAAGGAGGAGAGGTGAGGAGGAGGAAGTGAACTTGTTTCAGGTATTTAATCCTCGACAAGACACACCTAACTCGAACCTCGTCTCCGCCCTTGGTCACCATCCTTACTTCCCCTCTCCCCTACGTTGCTTGCCCCCTTCCCGTGTCACCCTCCTCTTCCTCTGGCGTCCTCTCCTCTCCTCTCCTCCTCTTCTCTTCTCTCTTCCTCCTCACCTCATCCTCCTTCTCCCTCCCCTTCTCTCATCCTCCATCGTCGAGTCCTCGGCTCACTCGTATCAGGTCAAGTTCTCCCTACTTGGCGGGTCTGCTACGATGCAGGGGGGAGAAGGTGAGCGGACCGAGGGGAAGGAGAAGTGCAAGAAGGGAAGAAAAGAGGAAGGAGAGGAAGGGAGAGGAGTCGATGCAGAGTAGGGCAGGGCAGGGAGGAAGAAAAGCGGATAGGAGGGGAGGGAAGGGGAGGAAGGAGCCATCCGGAGGTTGAACAAGAGAGGAAAATGGTGCGATTTTGAGACGAGGACGAAGAAGCAAGAGAATGAGAAAGCAGGGGGAGGAAAAGAAAGAGAAGGCGGGAGCAGGAGGAGGGAGCAGGAGCAGGAGCAGGAGTAGCCGGACTAACTCTGAATCAGATTTTCGTCAACGATGTCACGCGAGTGACGACTTGGGAATATCCGACTGCTGCTCGTCTCCCTGCTGGTAGAGAACGTGACTGGAGGAATGAGGAGGGAGGGCGAGAAAGAAGAGGAGGAGGGGAAAAGGGAAGAGGAGGAGGCAGGGGGAAGAGGAGGAGGGAGAAGGACGAGGAGGGGGAGGGGGAAGGACGAGGAAGGGGGGGGAGGAAGGACGACGACGAAGATGAAGGAGGACGATGTCAAGTAGAGGAGTGACATTGTGAATAATTCAGGTTGGGAAGAGAAGACAGATACCGCGAATCGAGTCTACTACGTGAATCACATGACTAGAACAACACAAGTCAGCTCCTTCCTCCATGTTCTCCTCCTCCTCCCCTTCTTCCCTTCTTTGCTCCCTCCTTCTCCTCCCTCTCTCCCTCCTTCTCCTCCCTCTCCCCCTCCTTCTTCTCCTCCCTCTCTCCCTCCTTCTTCTCCTCTCTCTCCCCCTCCTTCTTCTCCTCCCTCTCTCCCTCCTTCTTCTCCTCCCTCTCTCCCTCCTT